GCAGAGCCGCCATTTTCCCGGACATGTCCGGCTTTTCGGCAGTCAAACCCCCGCCCGGGGGGAATTGCCAAAAAGCCGAACATGTCCGGGAAAATGGCGGCTCTGCTCCTCCCCGACTCTTCGGCTCGTGTTTAAGAGCCGGGCTGCCCGAGTGCTACCGGCTTCAGGCAGCCCCTGTGCCTCCAGACCCTGCGCCCCCAGCAGGGCACTTCCCCTCCCGGGCTCCAGCGGCGCAAGGTCCGGAGGCACGGGGCTGCCCGAAGCCGGTAGCGCTCGGGCAGCCCGGCTCTTAAACAGAGCCAAAGAGTCGGGGAGGAGCAGAGCCGCCATTTTCCCGGACATGTTCGGCTTTTTGGCAATTCCCCCCGGACGGGGGTTTGACTGCCGAAAAGCCGGACATGTCCGGGAAAAAGAGGACGTATGGTAACCCTAGTGTAGATGTTTTGAATAATGGGGTCAAACACTAACACAACAGCAATGTTGGCTTTGAAGATTTCCTAAAGTTTGATGCCTTCATTCCTTTTGTCTGGCTCTAATATCACTGGTATTGTTTCTTAGCAATGAGCTTAATCAGACAGACAGCAGGCAGGCCAACTGTTGTGGGTCACTAATAAGCCAGGTGAGTTACAAAACTGAAGTACTTTGGGGCATAAGTTGCCCTTCAGTACATGTGGCTCTTGGCTGTGGTAATGTCAATCTCTCCAGTCTGTCTGTCTCGCTCCTGGAATTAGTATTATTTATTATTACAGGCATCTGTGAAGTACCCTTCACCACAGTATTTGGGTGCATTCTACATCAGTGGTTTTCAACCTGTGGTCTGCAGACCCCGGGGGGTCCACAGACTATGCCTAAGGGGTCCATGAAAGGTTGCCATTGCAGACCACAGGTTGAAAATCACTGTTTTATGGCAGACCCTTGGAAGTCTGCAGACTATATCTAAGATTTCCAAAAGAGTTTGCACCTCCATTCAACATTTTTTAGAGCTCTGCAAATGAAAAAAGGTTGAAAACCACTGTTCTACATGATTTAGATTAAAGAGTAAGACAACATTGCCCACAGAGGGAGAGCATATACTCCATTAGCTCCTGGAGCACTGAAATAGCTCATCTTAAAGGACTGAGGAAACCTAGCCAGTGGGCTAAGTGCCAGGAGATTGCAGGGCCTGCAATTAGCAGGAGGGCTGGAAAAAGAAATTAATCTTAGGCTGTGTTCTAAAAGTGGCCATCTTTGGGCTCAAGCAAATATTTGGTAAGCATAAATTCCAGAAGGACCTGGTGCTGAGAATGCCTTGACCCAGTTTCCTCTTTGTCTGGACAGACAGAGAGATCTGGGTTAAAGCATTCTCATAGCCATGATATTGAGCTTCCATATACACCCCTCTAGCTGGCCTCTCTTTGCCCATAATGAATATTACACAAGAACTGTTCACATAGGTCTATGTGACAGGCCACAAGAAGGATTTTCTTCAGCCCTTTGTACAGCTGATTGGTGCAAAGGCATAGGTAATTCTTGCAGAAAATGGCCTTTACTGTTGAGTATCCTCTGTGTGCCCCATCAGTATAAGTAGGCTGATTCTTTCACACAGGCTACCGAATGAGCTGACAGGCATAATGACGAGCTAGATTTCTGTGGTTAATTTTCTTTGCCATTAGCACTACCTTAGTGAATCTTTTTTTTGCATTTCTGGTTTCTGCTCTCTGACTCCAACAAACATAACTTTGACAGCAAAGCAGAACTTCATGTTGGCAGCCTCAGATAGCAGAAATATCCAGGGTAGAGCCTGGGTGCTGAGGGGAGCATACCTAAAATGGTTTTGCACCTCTGTTTAAAGGCTCAGTAAGTGCTTTTTAAAAGGGAGCAAGTCCTACTGGTGCAGCATATGCATCAGGCCTACAGCTGATTCAGGGTGGGCTGGGCCCTAGCTATGCCCCATCTAGGGTATGTCTGCGCTGCAATTAAAAACCTGCAGCTGGCCTGTGCCAGCTGACTTGGGCTAAGGGGCTGTTTAATTGTGGTGTAGATGCTTGGGCTCAGGCTGGAGCCTGTGAGGTGGGATGCTCCCAAAGCTTGGCCTGCAGCCCACGCCCAAATGTCTACACTGCAATTAGATAGCCCCTTAGCCTGAGCTCCACAAACCCAAGGTAGAAGCCAGCCATGGGTGTTTTATTGCAATGTAGAGATACCTCTAGTCACTCCCTATTCAGCATACCCTGTGTTAGCTTGTGCTTCTGAAGTGCAAGCCCCGACACCTTGGCTGCTCCCATAGCACTTGCACAAGGGAAGGAAGGGTGGGTTATCTGTGCCCTCTCACCACTCTTGTGTACCCATGCTGGAGAGCCAGAACCTAGTGATGAACAGCACCTATACTGCTGTGATATAGTAAAGACTTTGGTTGGGTTACTGTCAGGAGTTTAATTAAATAATAATACTTAGCTCTTATTGCGCATTTCAGCTCTTCACAAAGGAAGGTGAGTATCGTTTCTGGGGCACAGCGAGATGATGTGACTTTGTCTAAGGTCTAATAGCAAAGCAGGAAGAGAAACCAGGTCTCCTGACTCCCAGTCTAATGCCTTATTCACAATACCTTCCATTTCTCCACCTATCCCCAGTGGCACAGGGAACTTGTCTTCGAGCCAGCCAGCTTCATCCTGCAATATATGCAGGACATGAGTGGTAACATCCCTTTAAATGTGATACCGTAGATAACTATGTGCCAAAACTCAAGGCCTTGAGTCATTGAGATGTCTTCACCATCTTTACGTACCTCACAGACTCCACATACTTAAAGGATAATCATTTTGTTGGTCTAATTCTATGTAATCAGTTATTTAAGGATATTGCTCCTGTGTCTGTGCATGGGCGAGGGAGGCTAGAGGCAGCAGCTTCTTTAACATTTCCACGCCTTCTGTGCACAAACTGGTACTGCTGGATATACAAATGATTAACAGTGTCTGATAAAATTCCTCTTCCTGCCCAGTTATCAGCAGGTAGAGGGGAAAGAACATCTTACTATTATCATGTTAAGTGATTGCTTGTAAGTATGTTTTAGTTCAAGCTGTAATTTGTATGTGTGCCAAAACCAAACAGTGTGGACTGTGGAAATAAAACTGGTAAATGATCTATGCTATAATGTAACTCAGTGAAACATGAGGCTATTTATATAAAGGGTTTAATGACTTTCTTCATCTCTCTTCTTAGGAAGACAACGCGTCTTGCAAAATTTTGAGAAGGCTCAAGGCTTTAAAGAAGGCTCGTCTAAATAAAGGAGGGTTAAAGTGACATTGCAGTTACTTAATCCTGTGCTTTCCTTCCATGTGACTCGAACAAGACTGAGGTGCAGCTTTCCTTTTTCCCGGTGCAGAGATTATACTGCTCCTAGCATCCTCCAGCAGCAATTCTGCACATCAAAGTAGCAATGGAAATTAAACAAAGCAGTGGCAAGCATTTTACAGCAGGGCTGCAAGGTAAAGGTCAGGCATTTCCAAATCACAGTGAAAAGCTTGCTGGCTGAAAAATGAATCAAAGGAAAATCCAACTTTCAGCTTTTGGACTGAGCACTGAACCAAGAAGGACTGCATCAAATCCTACCGAAGGTTAGCTGTTCAAAGTGATCTGAAAGCTTTTGGACTTATTCAAAGTAGTTATTGAGCTACCAGTCTGAGGTGTGCCTGTCAGTGTTTTCAGGGCAGCAAACTAGAACCTGAAAGTTAAAGAAGTGTCAAATGTACTGCATTTGTTTGCACTCCATTGAAAATGGACTCTTAGCTTTTGTATGTGTACAGTTTACAGCTTACAGCTTTAATTATCAAGCCTTTTTTTATCTTACAGATAAGGATTTAAAATTGCTCACTGGAGAGTAAAAGCCAATTGGCTTGTAATTTTACTTCTGATTTTGGACAGAACCAGCAATAGATATATGATGGCAAATTTGGTTTTTAAGTCATTTCCACATTGATCTTTGGACCTCAGGCAATTTTTGTTCGGGTTATCACAATTCTGTTATGTCCAGGATTGTATTCCACTGGAACAGCTTGTTAAACCAAATGGAAATGTGATTGCTCTGTGGACTATGACAACAAGCTATATGAATGGCGGAGGTCTTGGAAACCACCGATATGCCAGGTGGAATCGTGAGGACAGTGGAGAGGACTACGGGCGGGCTGAGTGCTATGGAGAAGATGAGGAGGGCAGGAAGCGCAGGCTGACCCCATTTGAGAAGCTAACCCAGGATATGTCCCAGGATGAAAAGGTGGTGAAGGAATTAACTCTGGGGAAGAGGATTGGATTCTATCGAGTGAGAGGGGAAATAGGGAGTGGGAATTTCTCACAAGTGAAGCTTGGAATTCATTCTCTAACCAAAGGTAGGCAATGCCAGTTGCAACACATGTTATGATTGTGTGGTGCTGTGTATATATATGGTGCAGGATTCTTTGGAATGAAAGGGACTGTGTGAATCCTACATACCTATACAGTTGTGGCAACATATATTTATAGGCAGGGACACAGGTAAATGCTTAGGACTAGATTATCCCTTGCCCTTGAAAGGGGGAAGGATCTTTCCTCTATCTAGCACCTCCTGTGCCAGATTCAAGGAAAATTGCAGTCTCTGTGTTCCAGGGCTTGCACAGGTTGTATCCCTTGGCTTTCAACCACCCCAAATAAAATGGAGCCTTGGGCCTGCCCCAACATCACACAATACAGCTCATTAAAGGGTGGTTCTGTGTGCACATACCCCTGAATTCCTTGGAGCACTTGGAGGGATTGTGCCTCTCCCCAGCGTCCTCCTGATCAGTATTGCTCTGCAACCCTTGCTCCAAACCAGCGGAGCTAGTGTTAGCAACAGCAGGAATGTTTTAAAGAAAATTTCCTTAGTGTAGGCGAGGCTGTTGCATGCAGGTAACGATGATCCTGCTGGGAAATGTTATGTGTGTTTTGCTAACTCAGTACTGCAAGTTGCTCATTCCCCCAGCCACAAGTGAGGGAGATGGGAGTGGCCTTCTAGGAAGAGACAACCTAATGTGCAGGCCCAGCCGTTCTCAGAGAATGCTAGGAGCATCCAGGCCTGGGGCAAAGACTTGGTTTTCATAATTCATAGATTTTAAGACCAGAAGGGACTGTAATGAGACCTACTCTAACCTCCTGCATAACTCAGACCAAAGAATCTCATCCAGTAATTCCTGTGTTACTTCATTTTGAATTAATTTTATTAATAAAACCAAACTCTCAGAAGGGGTAAGTTTTTTGACCTGCTGCAGCTTGTGTGGGCTGTGTAGGGAGCAAGGTGGGAAAACCACCGGCCCAAACCCCACTGAAGCCAGTGGCATCTGCAGCCACGTGAGAGCTGAATTAAGCCCCAAATGTCAATGCTAACCTCAGCTTTCCTTCTTTTTTGTTTTGAGTGGATGTGTCCATTTTAGTCCCTTTTTATTGTGAAGTTAGCCCCCAGCACTAGGGCTGTATGTCTGCATGGGGAAGCCACAGGTTGCTGTCTTTGCCACAGTGCAATGTGACCAATGCTACAGCAGTGAAAAATATCCCATTTGGAGAAAAACAGTCCTTTCAATTGTGTTTGGGTCAAAGCCAAAGGTCTCAATTTTTTCTCTTGGGCACCATCTTACTGTTCTTGCTTCCTGCACCAGTCCACATGAGTAGCTGGGTAATACCCTTAGAGCATCTAGCTCTATAACAAAGTCTACACTGCAGTTGAACACCCGTGACTGGCCTGTGTCAGCTGACTCGGGCTCGCAGAGCTCAGGCTACAGGGCTGTTTAATTGCAGTATAGATGTTCGGACTCAGGCTGGATGGAGTCCAGGCTCTGGGAGCCAGTGAGCAGGGAGGGTCCCAGAGCCTCGGCTTCAGTCCAAGCCCAAATGTCTACACCACAATTAAACAGCCTCATAGCCTGAGCCCCATGAGCCCGAGTCAGCTGACTCGGGCCAGCTACGGATGTTCAGTTGCAGTGTAGACGTACCCTCAGCGGCAGTTGCATGTTGTGCAGCAGATCTTGCGGATGGGCACTTTTCTATGTGCACAGGATGATGCCTATTTTCTCCTTTAGGGAGAGAGTCATAGAATGTAAGGCCAGAAGGGACCACAAGGCCATCTAAACTGACCTCCTGTATATCACAGGCCACCAACACTACCCGGCACCCACACACTAAACCCAACAACTGAAATTAGACCAAGGAATTACAGCCCTCAGGAGACGCAACTATTATGAGCCACAAACTGTTATAGGCACATTCAAGCAAGTTGTAAATGAACCCTGTTGAGAATGTATCCAAGGTCTGGGTGCACACAAGCTTTGGATACATGCGGAGTGCACTGATTTGGAAAAGAGGATTCAGTTTGTCAGGCTGTGTCTGCACCGCTCTACTTCCACCTTCCCCCCCTCCCAGTTCTGGCAGGCCTGAGAAAGGTGGTATTTAGTAGACAAGAGATCATCAGTGTCATGCTGTGTAGGGTTAGGGGGCAGAAAGGCAACAGTGCCCCTCTGCAGCCTCTCCACAACTGTGACTCCAATTCCTAGCCTGGACTAGGGGCTGTGACTTCTGCACAATCCCAACATAGGGGTTTGTGTCCACTGGATCTATGTAACCCTGCCCCTTAATGTCCTGTCCACAATGGTGAATTCAGAACAGGCCCTGGGCCCACCTTTGCTACACTCAGGGGTGCTGAGTCCCTTTGTGTGTCCACTCTCTAGCTGCCAACATCCAGTATAGCAGAACTACCATAGTCCACTACAGCGGAGGCCTACTACAGTCCTTACGTTCTTAGGTGAATGTCACCCAAGTATCAGTTATGCCCCAGGTTTTAATATGTTTTCTTAGACCAATATCCTCTGCTGTGCATTGCAAAATCAAACCTCACCTTACCCCCACACTGCAATGTAGGTGGGGATCATTAGCATTTATACTGCAGAATTCACTCCTGGTGGAACCGTGCCCCCATGCTTTGACTTCCAAATCAACAGCTGCATGAAAACTTGGAATAGGGGCTATTACTCAGTCACTCTCAGGAGTCATTTATTGGCCGAGATACAAAAAATGCTAAACTGCATCAGCTTTTAAATTCAAGCTTATGGAAATATATACAAAGAACAGGCTTTAACAATGTTCATTGTAGTTTTCTAGTCTTTCTAATTTCTGGTAAATAAAGAGTAGATACCACAATCAGTGGATACTGATTTCTGCTGTGTGACAAAGGTAAGAACCTTTTGAAACACTGATCTGTGTCAGGTGACTGGTGCAGGGAAACAAAGACAAATCTCTCACCAGGATTCCTGAATGTCACAACTTTAGTATAAAACCTATGACACATCTATGTAAATTTCAATTAGGATTCAATCAATGTTCATAAAAAAGAGTTCACCCTACCATTGCCTGAAAACAATGGGAAGAGACACCACTTTCCCTCCCTGACTTCCCATTTTTCCCTGTGCCCTTTTATTCCTTTCTCCTCTTTTTGATCTTCATTTCCATCTCTTTCTCATGGCCCATCCCTTTCCTTCTTGCATTCACTCTCCATCTATTCCAAGAAATGTTTTAAAGCCCCAAGCCCTTCCCTTTTTTTTATTCTTCTCTTTTCTATACATATACAGAATACATACATATTCTAAAGGTTTGCAAACCCTCCATATTGCCCCATGCATGAGGCTTTTGTTCTATTTTCTTAGCTCTCCTGGTACCAGTGAACAGTGTATCTGCTGCATGTGACCCACAATATGTTGCTTGCTTTGTTGGTTCATCAGTGAGTTTGCTTTCCAGGAGAAGCAGTATCTTGTCATTGATATTAAAGATGTTGCTCCATCACACAGCAATAAAGGGAATACCTAGGAAAGGAAGGAGCAGGGAGGACATCAGGGTCAGAGGTTGGTCTGGGACTGCATGTATGTTACTGAATCCTGGAGAGATATCACTTTGGCCTACAAATAGGGCTTGCTGAAAATTTTCCACTGAAGCTTTGTATTTATGGAAAATTGGGGTTCAAGTAAACAAAATTTTTTGTGGGAAATCTGCTTTCCTTGAACCATTTGGGTTTTTTTTTTCACCACAAAGCTGAATTTTTTGGGCTCTCTTTGGCTGACAATTTTCATTCTTTAATTTTCAACTCTAAAGGGGGTTACACATTTGGATGAAAAGTCAACATTCTCCAGGGGGGAGGAGCATTTTTCAACTAACTCTACTTATTAGCTCATGTGTTCTCATAAATTAAGCAGAGTCAGGTCAGGTTAGTATTTGGATGAGAGACCAACACAAAAACACTTACATGCTTCAGGAAGGGGTGTTAGTAATTCCACCTTGCTGAACCAATGTGCCATCATGGTGTTAGGTGGCACTGGCCTATTGGACAAGTTGTCTTTTGACTAAGACATAAATCAGACATCCAAATTATTTATGGTTTATAAAAATTCTCATGATCTTTTTGCAAGAGTTCTGGTGTTATCCTGATGTCCTGGTTAAATTCTAATTATATTCTGCCTCTTGAAATTCCACTCATTATTAACATTCGAAATAATGTTACTCTTCACCCTCTGTTAAAAAATGCTAAAAGGTTCTTTTGCTCAGCAAGGACAACAAAACAAAGATCATTTGGCGTTCATAAGCCAAGCAAGTTTGGAGGTGCGGGAAGGCCCCCCGCCCCAAAAAAGAAGAAAAAATGATGTTTTTCAAAAGTTAAGAGCAAATTTTCAAAACGCTGTGGGGCTTAGTCTCCTTTCACTTTACAACTGTGTAACTGCAGCAGCTTAAGTCAGTTTATGTCTGAATTACACCAGTGTGAGAGAGGAATCAGGCACTTCAGCTTTAAAATGGCTTTTCTGATGTTTTTTTAAGCAATGTTCTCAGTAAATTTGTATCCTGTAATGAGATGTGGCACACGCAATGTGCAGGCGGATTAGTTACTTTTTTTTTAAAAAGTCATGAGAGAGACTGAAAAATCAGCTTATAATAAGAAGCACACTTCAATCTTAACGGCTGTAATAGAATATCAGTCACTATAGTATCTGAACACTTATATTGGTCATGAAAAAGGATATACTGTAAGCTTTGCGTATGGCAGTATTTCTATTGATTTAATTGTTGCCCAGTAAAATGCCAAAGTAATAAGGATTCTCTATTCTAGGATTTTTAAATTGCATTTTTGTGAGTGTAATGTATAATTATATTTCCTCACTGGGGACAGGGTGGACCAGGCAGTTAATAATAGGATAAGGAGCCTTTCACGTCTAGATCACCAATCTGAATCCTGCCAAGGCCGTTATTAACGATAAATTAACATTGGATAGCTGGTGTGTTGTTACATGAAATGATTTGGTGATTTCTGGCTGTTTCAGACTGGGCAGGCGTCCACATCATTGAA